GTTGGCTCTAAGGCTTGGAAACGGGGATGAGCACTGTGCCCTAGAGTCAGACACGACTGGACTAAATGTCAAGGGGAACCCTTACCTAACCTTTACCTAATTAAGTGGAATAGGTTTTCCTTCTAGCATCTTGAAAGAGATGAAATGGTAGCATTTTTCATTTAATTATGTTGCAGGGAGGAGATCTGGAGAATTTTGTTGGAGATGTAAGTCTGTGGTAATTAGTTTGCATGCTGCTGAAATAAAATGTGCTGAAGTAGCTTCTAGAGTCCAGTCAGTAGTACCAGCTAAATTGGGCCATTGAGTAAATTAGAATACTTTAAGATTTGTCTTTACCAATCCCATTCATTCAATATGTCTACTGCAGTTAGGACTAATAATTGGATTTAGCCCATAGAGTTTATTGGTCTGGGGCATTTAATTTTAGGGCTAAGAAAGTGCTTTTAAAAATTGAATTGAACTTACACAAAACAATTGTATTTGTCCTGAACCTATTGGTTAAAAAACAGTAATGCCTATTAGTACTAGTCATGCCTACAGCTAGAAACAAGAATGCTTAATATCTTGAAATAATTGCAGATGGCTTTCTAACCAGACCAGTACTATAATTGTTACTGGCCCTTTTATGATGCTAGAGGGAACATGTGTTTCATATAATTGGGAATTTGCAGATGGATAAGCAACTGATTCTTATTTGGGGTGTGGAGTTATCGCATTTTTCCATGTATAAGACTATACTTTTGTTTAACATCTTTAGACTAAAAATTGAGGGTTATCTTATACATGGAAGTAAGATGAGGAGAGAACAAAAACAAGTGGAGTGGAAAGCAGGGATCAAAGTGATCCTGCAGGGCTTTGATCCCTGCTTTCCCCGCCACTTGCTAAGCCCCACTTAGATTTCTTAATTTTGGGTTAGAAAAGTGGGGGGGGGAATCTTATACATGGGGGCATCTTATACATGTAAAAATACGGTACTAATTTGCTGTATGCATATTCTCAAAGACTAGCCTAAAGTGTCATCTCCAGGTTAGGCTAGATGTGGTGAAACTAGCTGGTGAAGGCAATGTGATTCATTGCATTTTTTTATTGTGTGGCTCTTTATGTTTGTTTGTTTGTTCCTCTCTGTTACTTTTGGGAAGGAAGTTGAAGACTGATTATACAATAGAATAAAACTGGAAAAATTCCAGGTAAACATACTTCCAAGAATGTTTTAAGATGCCCATAAAGAGTAACTTTTGAAAGTAGCTGGGAACTATTTCTCATTATACCAATAAAACAGATGTGCTCCTAGTTAATGTGCTTTGGAGCATAATTTAGTTAATCCTTATTATCCTAGAATATTACTGTGGTTATAGCTAATAGAGTGGTTCTGAAAACTTATGTGGAGATAGTGGCAATAGGAAAACTGCTCCTTAAATATCTCAAATACCTTGAAAATTCCCTTAGAGTCATTATAAATCAGATAAAACTTGACAGCATATAACAATGTTACCCAAAACTAGCTACAGATAAACAAATCACTTTGGCCCTACTAATGCATGCTAGTTGATGTGTATGTTCACCCTGTTTTTGTTGTTCAGTGGATCTTCTTAAACCAGGTGTAAGAAGCCTGCAGACCACATGCACTCCTGATCCTTTTGTGTGTGTGTCATCTTAGAAGATGCTGTGCTCTGCAAAAGAAGCCACCTTTCATGTAGTTGATTTCTTCAATTGTTATAATACATGCAACAGTTTTTAACTTCACAATGTATTGTGGTTTTAGCCTAACCTATTTTAATCACTGTCAGACATCTTGGGTCCCACCACAAGAAGGAAGATGGCCTAGAAATTAAATAAATAGAAAAATAATTTTTCCTTTTCCTGTTCCCAAAGGGAAGGACACAGTCCAGCGAAGCATTTGTAGGGCTCTGTTGTGTCCAAGGGTGTTCTGGGCCCCAACTGCACAATACAAAGTTCCCGCAGTTGCTGCTGAATTTCAGTTTTCATTGGTAGGCACTAACTTTCAGCAGCAATGTGGCCCCTAGTGGGTTATGACGGATCCGGTTCGCCTTTTGCCCCCAGGAAGTTTTCTGCTCCTGTCCAAAATTATGGTAGGACTGGTACAATCACAATGCAGACAGAGGCAGATGCTTCAGGTAGCAATCAGGAGGCAATGGAGGTCAAAACTGTACATGCACACAGCTTGTCCTGCATTGCTTTAAATTTAGTTTGTTGCCTTGAGATTTGGTGAAGGATGCTGTCTCATCAGTAGTGCTGAAGTAGGGTCAACAGCCACTCTGCTTCTCTCGTTTATCTGAAACAAATCATATGCACTGTTGTTTTGCACTTTGCCTATTGAAGCCAAAAATCTGGCGATGGCCTTGAATGTTGAGTATGTACTATATATGTGAAGGAGATGGGGGAGACTCTGGATTTAAGTGCAAAAGTAGAAGCAGTCAGGTAAGGAGACTGTGATGGCTGAATCAGTTTGTTTTACTGTATATGCAAGAATACATGAGAGACCCCACAAGAGAGCTTTTGGGGGATCTTTGTCTCAAAGTAATGCAAGAGGTACCATTCAAAGAACCAGCACTCAGGCAAAATGCAAAGGGGAGGGACAGCTTTCAGTCAGATTGGTTCTTTTTTTTTTTTTTTTACCAGCAGCTTGGTGTATTTCAGAATAGGAGGCATGAATGATATTTTTATTTGCATTTTCTTGGTTTCTATGTAAAAAACAACAACGCTTCTTTTCTTTAGTTATCTTTTTGGTTATTAAATTCTATGAATATTCATTTAAAATTCCATCCTGCTAGGTTTGCACTTTGCTGTGCTATGCAAAACATCAATTGACTCTGTTTATTAGAATAAAGATAGGAGGAAGCTCGGGTGGGTCATTTTGCTGTGCCAGGTCAGACTCTACAAAATTAATTTTTGAACATGGTCAGTCATAAGAAGACAAAGTGGTGTCTCAGGCTGGTTGATTTTATGCAGTCCAGAGAGGAATAGCAAATTCTTCATGTCTCCTCACTATCTGGCGGTGTCAGAGGAAGACTGTGTTTTATTTTAATGTTTCCATTTATGTGGTAAAGTACATTTGTCTTCATTTAGTTCCATGTACCTGAAATTTCAAGCTACCAACATGAATTTGACCAAATTCCGGGAGGCGGTGGAAGACAGGAGGGCCTGGAATTCTGTGGTCCATGGGGTCATGAAGAGTCGGACACGACTTAACGACTAAACAACAACAACCTGAAAATTTCACCAGTCTGTCCTATTTCAGACTAAGTGCACATGTCCTGTTTTACCATAGAAACCTCTAAAAAAGGCCTGCTAATTTTTTCTGAGTTTTGTTAATTTCAGCATTTTCCCCTTCTTTCCCCTTGGAGAGATATATCTGTTTAAATCAAAAACGCAGTTCAGTATTGTCTTGGTTCTGACAGTCAGTACAGACTATCATTTATTCCAATACTGCAAGCATTGTATGCAGACTTGAACGAGGCTAACATTCTCTTATTCCTGGTGCACAGTACGTTTAGGGTTTTGTTCTTCAACATCACAATTACCTGTCTTCAGGTGTCAGCCTTAAGCCAAAATGATCTACGATGCTTTTCTGCAGCCCTCAAAGCCTCTAAAGTCACCCATGACTTTATTTTGTTTTTTACTTTTTAATCACAGTCTCTTAACTGCAGCGTTAAAGGTACAAGCACAGCGTGTTAAGTATGTGCTTCTAAGTGTCTTTTTGCATATAGATTTCATTCTCAGAGAGAAGCTAGAGTTCCTTTGGAATATATGGTCTTCTTTGGGTCAGCACAGCTCTGGAATGATTAAGTCACTCTAATTCATTGTTTTGAGAAGACCCTAAGAGCAAAATAATAAGTTGATCTCATTCAACACTTTCAGAACACAGTCGACACAGAAATTTGTGTACAGTAGCTTAAATTACAATAGCACCAGCAATGATTGGGTTCAGGCTTAAAAAGAAAAAGTTCATACTGCATTTAGTTATTCCCTCTTGGAGCTGTAATGTTTAAGATCACAACCATTTTTTTGGAGTTAAGTAAGATATTTCTGAGGAAATGATATCCGTTAAGAAGTCTCTTTCAAGTAACTTTATCCTTTAGTGGTATGCATTTTCTTATTCTTCTTGAATTGTTGCCATTATTGTCATTCCTTTCAAAGTGACAGAAAGATGACAAAATTATTCCAAAAAGAACCATTTTCATGGCTTGCTTTTAGCTGTATTCACCAACCTAATTATATGCTCTCTCTTCAGTAGCTCTCAGACATTCTGAAACAGGTTGCTTTTAATAGCTCATAGAACCCATCATAAAATGTACCCAGAGTAGATCTATGTGCTAAATTTTTAAAGAAAGCAGATTTCAGTATCCAGTAGTTGATTCACAAGCATTTCATAAGTACTAATAGCAAACTTTAGAAATCTGGTGCTGTTTGTTTCTGCTCCTTTTTCAGTTCTATCCAAAAGCTCACTTTATAAGAATGTTTGTAATTGATCAGTTTTACCCTTGGAGGTCTCCAACAATCACTCAGTTATTACAACTATTTTTCTAATGTAAACATTTGGAGAGATATATCAAAAAGTTTATATACCAGATATATATGAAAAATTGACAACCAAGAAAATGGTTTAAATCAATTATGTATATATATGATATATGATATATATGTATAATTACTTAGCTGTCAAGAAAAGCAGCAATAGAGATAAGGCCAACGGTAGTGCCAGTCACAGGACAGGGGCTTTTACATTTCAAGAAACATAAAATACCTAAAGTTCAAAGGTTTTACTCTCCTGATTTAGGGCATGAATCTGAGATGAAGAATTCACTCACAGGAGAAATGTTAAGCTACTGTTAAAACGTCAGTCCCTCGTGTACACACTTAATACTTCCTGGTTGTGAATAAATGCATGCTATTTTATACTGTGTTTATTACAGCTTGTAAACATTAGCACTACTTTAAAATTTAATGGAAGTATTATAACCAATTTTCTCTTGTTATAGCAATTATTCAACTGTCAAGCTCTGCGCAAACTGAGTATCCCAGACAATGACCTTTCAAGCCTGCCAGCCAGCATTGCCAGTTTAGTTAATCTTAAAGAACTCGACATCAGTAAAAATGGTAAGGAGAAGAAAAAAACACTATTCTTGTGTTGTTTCATTTATCACAGAACTGTAGATTTTTAGCAGTGAGGAAACAATATTAAAAACTGCCTTACTGACCTCACCTATATTTCCAGAACAATTTGTCTAGATAACTTACAAACAAAACCCCACTAAATAAAATGTTTTATTAATTTTTTCTTTCTGGTATTTCTTCTTCTCTGAATAGAAGTCTGTTGTGCTCCAACTACTGTACAAAGTTGTGTCTGAACACAAACGAGACAGCGCATTAAGTGCTGTGTAACAACAGTCTCACTAGCTATGATGCAGTAATGCCAACTGTTGCATAAAATTGTGAAAACAAACTTGCTTATTTAGGGTTAGAGTGTTATTTGCGATAGTGCAAACAGCAGGATGTTCCCCATCTGCTATAAGCTATTTCAGGAAAATGGAGAGAGCTGTTCAGCTGAACCACTGTATGTACATATTCCAGTTTGCTCAGGCAGCCCCATCAATTTCATGGGGACAAGGTACAAAATGTCAATGAAGCTTAATTATTTGCCATTTCTAGTTTAGTAACAGTGAGAACACTGAATTTTCAGTGCTGGTAATATGTCAGTCCAGAGTAAAATAATGGCCATAGTTTTGTAGACAGTTCATTTTCATACTCTGAACCCTGAAAGTGATGGCTGAAATCCTGTTGTCATAGCTCTGGGCACATAAGACTGATGATGCAATCAGACTCAGCCTTTTATCCTTACTTAAAAAGTCCCTATTGTGCCAGCTCAGGTTCTGAGGCTCTCTAAGGAGCTCTTTTGGCCTCAATACAGGGGGAACCCTTTAATGTTTGCAAACTGCCACTGCCAGGCCTGCCACTGGGACTGGAAGTGGCACTGCAGCAGAAATTTTCAGACAGTAAAGACTTCCCCATCCTGAGATTACCAAAGGCTTCCTCAGGTCAGAAGAAATCTCTGGGTGCCTCAGAATCAGGGGGATCTTTGTTTAAAGATAAAAGGGCACAGCTGATGAAGTCATCAGCCTTACGTACCCAAATCTGCACCAACATGATTCCAGCCAGCAATAGCTATATTTTATGTTTATACTCTTATTCTTTTCTCAACTGCAAAAATGGTACATCCAGGAACACATTACATGCTTCTTCCAGCTGTCACAATTATGTTTGATGAGATCCTTCCATGTTATTGTCCCAACAGAAATATAAGGTAGAAATAGTGCTTTTGTCTTTTTGTCAACTTTTGAATCATGGATTTTTACCCTTGCCCTTTGGATAGGACTAAATGTGGTAGAACACACTTGATCCTTGAAAAAAAACATATTTTTTGAGGGAATTCAATAGGGAACCCACACTATCTGGGGCAGATTTGGGCGTAACACATGGTAGTATGCAGAATTAGAATCTTTAAGAGATAGGCTCAAATAGCAGTTCTGATTTTTCTTTCTAAGTCAGTGTGATTTCCTTAGAGATCCAATTTAGGAACTGATTAGAAGTTGAAAGATCAATCCAAGGTACATTGCTGTTAAATATTTGCTTTATTTATTTATAGTTATGTTGCATGTTATGTTATATTCATTTATTCAGTAAAAACAGAATTTCTGTTCCCAACATTGATATCTATGCATTCCTATGTTTCAAAAAGCAGAATAATTCCCTAAAAAGAAAAATCATTTTGCTCAGTGGAAAAGGTTATGGTTGAAGCTGTCCCCACTCCCAAAAACAAATAAATTTAGGCTGCAGGTCAACTTCTCCATGCTCACTCAAAATATTGAAGTACCCTTTTTGTACCCTAATCTTCCTCGCCTCAACTCGCCTTGCTAATGGTGAGCTTACATAGAACTAAGCCAATCAAACACAGTAATATTTAATTTCTCCAAATATGGATTAGCTGGACAACACTGCAAATGATTATGTAAATCTTTATAAGACTTGGCTGCAAATTTGCTATTTCTAGATGTTGCCTGATTGTAGAAGTATCATAGTTTCATGTCAACTCTTCAGTGCTACTAGAGATGGGATGGATACTGTATAGAGATGACTAGTGGACTTATGCTGTGATATTTTTTAGTATACTTTAAAATACAAAAAGAGTCCATCAAAGTATCCATATTTTGAGTAAAAGGTGGTTGATCCATAGTCTGAATTTCTCTTTGGGATATTTACAAATTGTCCCTGAATAAAACATACAAATATGCCACTTTAACTGTGAGATAACATTATTATAGAACTAAAATATATTAAATATTTGTCCTAACTATGATTATCTGTACATTTTACCTTGTTTGAGATTACAGTTAATTTAAGGTATAGGGTCGCTAGCATTTTGGTTAATTAATTAATACAGTATAAATCAAAATGCATGTATATCATTTTATATTAGCTGGGAAAGAGACCTATACACATGTTACTTTTTCTGTGTCCAGAATCTATGGGGCTACTGATGGAAGCACTCCGTAAGCAGGTCTAGGAAGAGATTAATATTCTTTGCCCCTTCCCTCCCATCTTCAATATCTGCTCTCAAAGCTGGGGAGCTCTCTATAGCAGACTTCTATGTAAGGATGGGGGCAGAGTGAGAGAGAAGTAGAATATTTTGTTCTCGGTGTGCAGAGAGTGGAGAGGAGAAATGTCTCCTTCTGGATGGGACATCTTCTGACAATGCAGCTATAATGGTAGACCTTGGCCTAGGATTTCTGATACCAGGAGCAACTTGTAGTATTTTGGTTTGTATTGTAGATACAACCAGAATGTCAGCTTATTAAAGCTATGAAAATTGAAAATGAATGTCCCAGAAGCTCAAGTTTAATATGTTATTTTTAGCTAATCTCTAAATTTTTGCTGCTTGGATATAAATGTGGGGCAAATATATTCTAAGGAGAATCACTGAAATGAGCCAAGATTTCAGACCCATGTACTGTACCTATAATGTTATGATAAACATTCAGAATATTCAGAATTCTCTCTGCTAGGTCTTAAGTTTTTAGTAGTCCCATGGGAAATGTCTGATTCTTTCTCAAAGCTCTCATTTCTCAAAAAAGAAGAAACATTCAGGAACATCTAGGGACTGAGTTTTTGTATTTCAAGGGCTCCCACCTCCAGAATTCACCTGGTATCCCCCTGGCAGATTTCGCAAATGGCAGAACACATATAAAAAGCAAAATAGAGGCCTCCCCACTGCCATTCCATGTTTCAGGCTTGAAAAAGAGGGAGTGAGTCCTGCTGCTCGCTGGCAATATAATTAGGCTGCCTGGCAGTCACTGCAATGCTGCATTAGAAATGTAGCTTTTCTGCCTATTTGGATCTACACATGGAGTCTCTCCTGGAACTACCTTACCCATGTAGCCATTGGAAGCACCTTTCATTGGCTTGTACTGATATAACTTGGTTTGCCAAATGTGGGATAAACACTTAAGCTCTTCAGGGCACAGCTTAACATAGTCTTGAAAGTGGGAAGCAGTCTCTGAGAGCCCAGGGGAGTTAAAACAGAATAAAACTGACACATTCATTGTTGAAATGCTGTTTCTTTGTCCCACCAGCAAAACATCACCTGCAATACCATAGACACACCCTCTGACCTTTCTACCAGAGGTGGAACTATTTCTTCTCTCCTTTTAAAAGTGAAAAAAGGTATAAAATAACCAGTATTTAAAAAACATCCTTGAAAGGCTAACCAAGGATTTTTCAAAAGCAGGCAATACATCTGTTTTTATGGTCTGGATCTTCCTGTGATGCCTGTGCTTGAAAAGAGCTCTTCCATTCAAAGGCATAATTATCTAAAGACATAATTTCAAAGACCTAGTAATCAAAATACATAATGAACTTGGATGTAATGTCCAAAAGCTAGCAGGATTTCCCAGTCTGGTGGAAAGAGGAAAGGTAGTTTCCACTAGTTTTTGGTTTCTTTCCCAGAGAACAATGCAGGTATCTAGGGCAGATTTTCGGGGACACAGCAGACTGTAGAAGAATAAGGTGAAAATAGTTTAAAGTCACCACCTGCTATTTCACCAGTACATCTCAGCCTATGTATACTAGCAAATAAAAGTAAAATTGTCCTTACAAAAAGTGCACTTCATTATGGAGATGGTAGTAGCCAGAGATAGACAATGGAAAATTTCCTGGGCTTCTTTAAAACAAAACAGAACACTTTGTTCTGCCCTCTCACAATAGGTATAGCAAATGGAACTTAGGGTGAATGGTGGGTTTTCTCAGCACTTCTGGTTTTCATAATTTGCAGCAGGATTTCCCAAGGTCTGTGATGACCAGCTGACAGGGTTGCACTCCAAGAGGAAAGATGCACAGTGAGCTCTGCAGGGCATAGCTTAAAATAGTCATCAAAGTGGGAAGCAGTCTCTCTGAGAGCCCAGGGGAGTTTCATGAGCAGAGCCGAACCTCAAAGGGCCACATTCTGACAACATCGCACATAATTGATTCTCTTTAATTTTCCCTGCTACCCATTTTGGCACTCTGCTTTTTCTAATTGTGTCAGAATAAAACAGCATTACATAATACGCAGGACTGTATCATTAAGTTGAAAATTATGTTACATTCAGTCTGCCTTCAGGGCATGCTGGAGCTATTTTTATTTTTGTAAAATCACCTCCCTCATTACTACAGTGAATGCCTGCTTTATTTTAGAGCCAAGATAATTTATGTTTTTCTCTCCTTTCTTCTATGCATTTACGAATGTTCTGCTCTCGGAGCTGAGTCCTCAGATCATCTAAGCCCAGGCAGTATTTTGACTTCTTTTTATAACAGTTTAGCCCTGCAGAAGAAGAAGAAAGTAGTAGGCATTGCTGAAAATACTAACCAAGAAATTAATGTGCTCATCTGATGGGAACATGTTTGATGGGGTTAGGGCTATTAAAGGATTTTGCTTAAATGGGATTAACACCAGCTTTGGGTGTCCCAGGTAGCTTTCCCAGTTCCAATAGCTTCCTATGGACCACAGCTGATAGCCTTCCAATTTTTAAAGCACACACATGCCTTTGGCCAGCTGTTGGCCTTAAATATTAGAGCACTTAGACATAATTCATGGAGGAGTCTGATAGCTGCCATCTTGGCATCTGACAGTGGTGAGAAGTCAATTTACAACTTCAAGGCTGCTTCAAGGGAGCAGTGTTGGAAGTTTCATGGTGCACAAAGATTCAAGGCAGGGCAGAAGCAGCCCCTGGATCCTACAAGTTGCCTCCCCTGCTTTAAGTGAATATTTTATCAAGATACTGTCTGACTTAGAGCCTGGAGAAACCTCAGCAAAGGAAGAGGTTTGAAATTCTACAGGAAAACCTACTCCAAGGAAAGAGCTGGACGCATCTGCAGTTGTAGGGATGCTTCAAAGCTACTTGAACCCTGATTCTTTTCCTTGATCTCCTAGATTCTAATGTAAAGACAGCTAGAGATATCAAAGGAGTTCTGCTTATGCAGTATGCTGGAAGGTACTACTATAGCCACAGAGTCGGTATCCACTGTTTCACTTATCCACTGTCACTGCTGTTGCAACCTAGACCACAGTGCACGTGCACCCTTACCTCCTCCTTTTCCCCTTCCTCCTTCTCTCACTCTCTTTAATGGGTTCCCTCAGGTTCTGTGGTTGATCCTGGAACAGATGAATATGGACGACTACTGTATAGTACTTGGGGGAAAGAGACTATTAACAAAGAGAGAAAAGAGCAGAAAGAGGATCATCTGTCAGGGTTTTTATATAAAACCCACACCTGCTCCTGAACTTTTCCTGAGCTAAAAGATGCTTCTTAAGTCTTTTCAACTTCTTTGTCCTTCTTTGTCACTTTTGCTCAGATTCCAGTTGCAATTTCCACACAAGATGCAAGGCATGGCCAGACTGACAGTTAAGATACGTAAAATAATGAGTTGATAGTCTGTATCTCTCACATAATATGATTACCTCAGAGATATGAGTAGTCTGGGCAACTGGGCAGACTTCCAAATTAAGACTGTGTTTATCTCCCAGTGATCAATCATAAAACAAAGCTCACTGGAGTGCAAGATACAGAGCTGAATAAAAGCACGTGTCATTACAACCTAAAATCTTTTCGCTCATAGATAAGCCCCACTTTAATAATTTGCCAACTGAATCATCTGGTTTGATCTGTTGGGGCAAGAGGAAAGAAGAGAGGACTTACCCCTCTCTCCCATAGACAGAAACTGACATAGCCTAGAAGCCTAATGATCAATTAGGCAGAGGTGCTTTCTGACCCACATATATGGGCTGGGTTTCTTTCTTTGTTTCCAACAGAAGAAAGGTGGGGTTGTTTATAAAAGACATCCTGTGGCCAAATGTTGCACTGAAAACAGAAACAAAGGAAGTCGAAATTTCTGTATTGCACTAAAAATATTTGTTCTTCTTCAAAGAGAAGGAGTCTTTGAACAAGGACACATTTCTGAGTCCTTGAATAATAAATTCACTTTTGATACTTTGTTTTTCTTTGTCATTGCTCCTTGACTTCTTTTGCATTTTATCCACCTCTGATGATTTACTTCATTTCATTTGCGGAATAAACATCCACAGGCTACTGCCCTGACATGCCTAATAAAAAAATTAACATAAAGAATTGCTAGTGATGACTCATTGGCTAGAGGAAAAAAGTCAGTATCCGTTCATATACTGGCAAAGTCAGTAAAATTTACTGGAACACCCCACTATCTTTCCTGTGCACTAATCTTGATAAACAGTGACTAGAGAACAGCAGCTGCCTTGTCTGTTATTAACCTTTAATTTGCACTCACAAGTACTTGAAGATCAGCCGGCCCTTTCTTATTTTCAACATGCCTGCCATTGGCTTTCTTCTGAATTATAACATGAAAAGCAATAGCAGTGTAGAAGTATCTGCTCACTGTTTTAGGACATTGCAGTATTTTCCCCTGAGGACATAACAATCTAAAATTTGATGGAGGGAACAGTAATGGAAGTTAAAACAGGAAGCCTGGCAGAGTGCCTGCTCCCACCTAGCTGTGCTCATGTCACTCGATTTAGCCAGGCTGGGCAGCTGAGGGGCTTGACCCTAAGCAAGGCCCGGAAGGAGAGAACTAGAAACCGGGCCTTCTTGGCGGTGTCCCCTTGCCTCTGGAACAGCTTGCCCCTGGAGATTCGCCTGGCACCCTTGTTGGGAGTTTTCAAGAACAAGCTGAAGACTTGGTTCTTCAGGCAAGCCTTCCCCTCTTCCATCACTTAGTTCTCTGTGTTTTCCCATCTTGGACTTTGCTCATCTCTCTTTACTGATATTGTCTGTTTTAATTCTTGGTCTTATTGCTTGGACTGTAAGCTGCCCAGAGTAGATTCATTTAGAATCTAGATGGATGGGGTAAAAGACAAACAAATAAACAAACAAATATAAATGAACAAACAAACAAACAAACAAAGCCGGCTTCTATGCATGCCTTTCTGTACACGAAGACCTTCAAGAAAAGCTTGTTCCTTCTCAGTTAACCCTCTCTCAGAGGTGTGGCAGATGTCTTCCAGTAAAAAATAACTTATTGGTAAGGGTGGCATAAGCCTAGGTCTCTGGTCTGCTCCTAAGTAATGCCTCCAAATTTGGAGGACTATCTTGTCTTGTTGATTTGTTTCCAGGGCAGTGCCTAGTTCTCAGATCATCTATAACTGCTGGCCAGCTGTTGTGCAGAAGCATCTTGCCCTCTCACTGTTTCCCACCAATAAGTGGAACTCCTCAATAAGTGAGAAGGCCATTTGGATTCTGCACTGGGATTCGTGTAGTCGATTTCCATACCATTCCATGTGTCTATTTCTAGCATATATTGGCTTAGAATTTTCTAGTTTTAGGGATTGTTCAGCAAAATCCAATGACTCTTTGTTTTGTCAGCTTGTGGGTTTACAAAAAGTGGCAAGACTTCTTTATGAGTTCCTCATGAGCTAATGGGTTCTCTAAGATTTTTCCTCCTTTTCATACTGTAATCCCCCTTTTCTACTAGAAATATTTAGTAGAGTGAATTATGACACCTGGGCTTCTTTGTATAATTGGTATGAAAATAATGTCTTTCAACAGGCCTCCAAGATGGCTTACAGACGTTAACATAAATCTAATTAAAAAATGTCCACAATGAAAATCTAGCATTTAGAAAGCCTTGTGCCCTCAAGTTGATTTTTATTTATGGCTACGCTTGTCAGGGTTTTCCAGTTATTAAGTACTCAGAGGTGATTTATCTTTCCCTTCTTCTGGTAAGTGCTCTGGGACAGTGCAGTTTGCTCTAGACTACATAGGCTGGCTGCTCTCCTGAGAGGCACTGTGGGGAATCAAACTCTTCACCTCTGCCTGCACAGCAAGGTAGTCCAAATCACTGAGTTATCCAGTCAGTTTTTGTTTTTCTAATGCTCTGAGTAATATAAGGCCACTCTGCAGAATTATTTCTGAAATTTCTTTACCATTTTTGGTGGTGGCCTCCCATCACCCATGAATACCCTAGAATAGTATGAGGCAGAGGCTGTTGGAAAGGAAGTAAAATGGCAACCAGCCTATCAGCCTATCAGCACACTTGCTGCTTCTTTTTGTAATAGCAGTGCAAAAAACAAAAAACAAAACAAAAGTCTACCTCTGTATGTAAAACAAAACTGTGTTACAATCACTGCTAATGTTGGGTCAACTTTGAGCAGTTCTTTTTGCCCTTGAGAAATCTGATGAGCAGGGAGGCTATTCTTCCCAGCAATAGCAAAGAGAATTTTTGAAAAGCCATTTGTGAATAATGACAGCCGAAACGCAAAAGAAAATATATAGCAATTAACTTCCACTGAGACATGTATTGATTTTTTTAATTATATGGGAGCCCTGTTGCCCCACCCTGAATGTTCCTTGTCTTCCCTTTGGCCAACTGCCCTCCACCTCCTCCAATGCTTCCCTTATAGCCCCCAGTTTTAAGGAGGCCCCCCCATCCTCACATGGTCAAGCTTGATTCACCATGTATCTTTTCCACAGTATTTTTCCTTAACAGCATTTTCTTCCCATACCTGAGTCAGGTGTTATCTCTCACCTGTCTCAGATCCAGCAGTCTCTGGTTCCAGGGGGTCTTGCTTGGCTGTTTGGAGTGGGGCCAATGGCCCACCAGGGATGCTATTGGTGAACCGCTCACACCATAGCCACATAGTTCAGGTGTGTTGGCTAAATTCTGTTGGAATTTGGAATAAACGAAATCATGTAAATTGTGGCAAGAAATTGCAACTAAATGAGATAATTGGGACCTTCATGATTAGCTGCAATACACTGCTGTGGCATACAATTTCACTTACTGTGGAGTAAAATGCTAATAGGATTTAGACCAACATTTATTATTTTTCTGTGTATCCTGTGGTGTATTTTGTACTATATTCAGACTTTCCGTTTTCTGTTTTACATTGATTTCTATAATAGATAAATAATTTGTTCTCAGTTAAGATTTAATATATTTGTTTTTGCTCTTTTAGGAATCCAAGATTTTCCAGAAAATATAAAGTGCTGTAAGTGTTTAACAATAATTGAAGCCAGTGTCAATCCTATTTCTAAGTGAGTATCTCAGTGGGGTTATTTGTGTCTTTTATGTAGTGTTGTACAGATAAATGTCAAATGAAGGTCTACCACATGGATTGCTTATCATAAACATGTAAAAGAAACTAAGTGAAGTGGGAGGGGGAAAGCTATATTAAAGACATAGAAGCTCTATAGTTAAAAAAATAGGAATGCATCTTAAGGGTTATACTGTGAAGGTCAAAAGTATGACACTTGAACAGTGTCCTTAGAACATTATAAAATTTATAACTTGGTAGTTTTAATCTATCATGTTTCATCACAGCTGACATTTATCCCTGAAACGATTAATTCCAGTGTGAAATGAGATAACTTTTTTCAATCATATCAATGCCCATCTAGGTATCAATGTACAGTATAAGTAGTTTCATTGTTGAAATGATTCCAGACAGCAGTGGCTTGTCTAATTCTACAAACTTTATACATCTACATTACTTCTATGTTTCTATGTTCCATAAGCATAAAAAAAAAAGTCAAAGCTGTTAAAAATGTAACTTTTGAGAAGTAAAATGCATTCTTATAATTATGGGCAAAAGCTGTAAGTACAAATACTTTAAATATGAAGGCTGAAATTAAGTTGCAGGCAAATATTTAAGTCTGAAAAATATATGTTTTTAGCTATAAAAGTTATGAATATTTCAATCAAAATTACAGGGGCTTATAGCCTTAAAAGGCACATCTGTTTAAAAAGTAAAAGTATATAAAAGTGTAAATACATTACTGTACTTAGTTTTCTACATGCTCACGCAGCAATTTGCCAGTTCAAATCTATGGAGGGAAATCCACTACTGACTTGTCTGTTCTGCCTTTGTACTGCTGCTGCCGCTGCTGTTGCTGCTATAAGTTCTTTGTGTTTCTTCTTCCTTCCCCTGGTTTCTTGGCTTGGCTTCTTGACTATGTTACAGTAGCCCTTTTATAAGAATAGGATATTTATGTTCCACTATCTTTGTCAATACATTCTTGCTTAATCTGCAGATCACATTAGTTGCCAGACCAATGTAATAGACTTTATTAGACTAGAGAAAGTTTGCTGATTAGGAAAATGTAAATAATCTGCTTCTGTTACTGCTCAAGCAAAATTGATAGTTTTGGTGATAATCTTCAAAACAGCAGTGTACATTTGCAACGTGTTTTGCTAGTCTAAAGACTCAATAGCCTTTTACATGTATTTTGCTACTCTTACAAAAATAGCTGTTTGTCCTAAAGTAACCTCACATGTCACATTTCTAGAGTTACAGTTCTTATACCCACTTAATCTCATATATATAATTTATACAAAACTTTGACAGTTCTCAATGAAAATTTGTTTTTTTATATTACAACTTGATCAGGTTGAGTGTCCTGACCACTAGCACAACAGAAAATCCTCCCCTTTACAGGCCCCAAGTGCTAGCTGTACAGAGGAGCAGGTTTGGGGTTTATATTGGGGGAGGCTCCAGTGGGAGGGAGCGTTGCCCCTTCTTGTTTCTGCTGGAACCTCCAGTTCCATCAATGGAAATACCTTGGTCGGGCTCTGCCCTCAGTTTCCAAAATCATCCATCAGTATTTTTTTAAAAGCACATAAAGACACTTCAGATAAAATTAGACCATTAGTCTGTCTAGCTCAGCATTGTATATAATAGCTGATGATTGCTCTCCACATCAGGATTCTTCTCCTGCTCTAACTGCAGATGCCAGGAGTTGAACTGGTGATGAGCTGACGAAGAACACATAAACTGAAGCATAATCCAGACAAGGAAGAGATGTTAACCATGAGATGTGTCTTCCTGTTCTGGATGGGATAATACATCGTGTTAAGGATCAGGTACATAGTTTTGAAGGTTGATGAGAGTTGCTGTCCAACAGCCTCTAGAGGGCACATGTGCCCCATCTCTGACCTAGAGGATTGCATTTATGCTTAGGACTGATCCTATTGTTAGGCTTAGTGGGGCAGACTCCTCAGGCGGCAGAGTGCTGGTGGCAACAAGTGTGCTGCTTTCTGTATGCCACTTGAGGAAGGTCATGCTGTTTTGGAGATCTGCAGCTATGGGCACCTCTCCTGAAATACTTTTTCCATTAATCAAAGCCATCTACATCCTTCCTTCACCACAGCATTAAAAGGATCAAGATAGCATGAATGGGGCCACCTTAATGCTGTGTGTTTTCTCATCTTTGTCAGATGCAGGCACTCATAGCTATGGCACTGCCCACAAAAATCAACTTGCCACATTATTCCATTTATAAGCTTGCAAGGTAGTGAACAAAATTAGATTGACTAAGATTTTCTTGTGCATCCCCCCCTCTCCACAACATGTCTTGGTTGTGAAGACCTGTCAAGAGCATTATTGAAAAAAGGAAGCATTTCGGTGGCCATTTTTTTGGAGGCAAGAAGATATCTGCTTCCTTCTCCATCATCACTCAAAATTTTTTGGAAGAGTGCTGCCTTCACCAGATCCTTCCTCCTCCTTCTGCTCTCTAATCTGATACGGAAGGAAGGACATGGAAGATTTGCTGTCACTGTTGCCCTTACCTCTTGTGAGAAAGAAAGATTTTCATACATACTTTACACAGATATACCACATGGTGTAGCATGACTGTTGTTGTTACGTGTGTTTGTATGCAATGTTGCTATGTTCGCTGTGGAGGAGGCAGAGTGGCTTGCTGGCTCTGTATATGGGAGGCCCTCTGTGCTATACGGGGGTGGCGGGGTGGCACAGTGCTTCCAGACTTGGGCGGCAGGAGAGCTTGGACTGCCCCTGTTTCTGCTGCTTCAGAAAACAGAGTTGCTTTTTTAGGATGGGTTCTATTTGTTTTTCATTGCTGCACAAAGATTATAAAAATAAAAATAAAGCACAGGAAAAAAGTTAAATAGAATAACTGCAATGAAACAAAATCTAAACATTATGTATATCCTGAGTTGTATCCATACAAAATGTATTATTTTATTGAGGTTTTTATAGTTCATAGTATGATTGCTAGCTGCTTATAAACCCAGACATACATAAAATATAAATGTATGAAATAATTCCAGATAATTTATTTTGTTAATATTTTAAAAATACATTATCTCCATTTATCCATCTTTATTGTGAATAAATTGTGGTTCATCTGCATTTTACTTCAGCATTTTCCATTGTGTTCATTATTCCATCCCCCATATATGAATTATCTGTCTAGATTTTGTAGAAGAATGCATAAGTACCCATATCACTAAAGTTGTTCATATTGGCAAAAAATCTTTATCCAAGGCTTTTAATTTCTAGAAAACATGGCTTTATTCCCAGAAAGTTAAACATACACTCATCTTACATCCTATATGTCATAAGTGAACACATTTTTGTTTTGTTTTTCAAAATGTGAAATTTGAGTTTGCATGTGCTGTTGTAATAAATAATCAATTCAACATGGATTGAAGATTGTAAGGTACTTGATTCTGCTGAGTGTGGGTGGAATGGCCAGATTTTGTGATAGGAAGGGCCCTATTTTCATTTAAAGCAAAAGTAGTGTGAGACAGTACAACGGTGACTTGTGAAAATGGGAAATGTATGCCCGCTTTCCATCTCCCTTTCCCACTCTTAGAATCAAATTGAACAATGAATTTTGTGTAATTTTACAAAACAGGGGGATGGCTAATTGTCATATAATTTCCTTTAGATTCCAAGTTCAAATTTAGGGTACTTTGTTTTGCGATTGTTCACTAGAAAGTAAAATCAGATTTTATAGGAGTCTGATTGCTGAGCCACACATCTCTAATGAGATCCCATTTTGGAAGGGAAATATGTTAACTAGAGGAAATCAACTGTCTCTGCATCCTACAAATTATCTGAGCTTCAGTACATAAGTAATTTCCATGACTTGTGGAAGAAGGTCTAGATGTGGCTAGGGCGTGGAGATGGGAGAGAGAGTAATGAAAATGTCTTTGGACTATTTGTAGTTATGTGAATATTAATACAATACAATAAGATCTGAGATCTTTAGAATATAGTTCCAATTGAAAAATAGTTGCAGTGAGAACCAGAGCTTACCATAGTCAAACACAGAAGCCAAAGTCATGAATAAGTATCAGACAAAGGTCCTGAAATATCAGTGACATGCTCCAGAGAACATTAAGATTTTTTGCATTGATCTAGAGAGTTGGCCGTGTTTATTTATTTATTTATTTGATTTATATGCAGCCCACACATGTTGTTACTTATATCAAAGGTAGCTTTGATAAATGAAGAAGACACGTATTAATGTCTTACATCCTTTCTTATTTACTATAGATAGCTTTGCTATTGATTTATAGCAAAGGTTTTAGCAGAAATGTTAATCTTTTTCATATTTTCATGTTTTATTCTTTTAATTGTATTTTACATCATTTATTGTTTAATTTATCTTTTAATATTTAACTTATTGTGTTTTTAAATTGTGTGAATTTTAATGTCAGCTGCTTTGGGTCCCTTGTTAGGAGAAATGTGGCATATAAATAAAACTAATAATAATAATAATAAAATCTATTAGTTTTATTATTGTTGTTGTTATTGTTATTGTTGTTGTTATTATTAATATATTAACCAGCATCTAGAATTCACATTTATGAAGTAATGTCTATGATGGCATCTATGCAGATGTTTTGCAGTAGCATTAGAATGGTCCTTTTTCAGGGCTATAAAATGTAGAAGTAATTATGAGGCTGACATACATCACTGAGAATATTAAGGAAACTGTCCTGTACACACTTTCCTGGGAGCAAACTTCATTGAATACAGCAAGAATTAATATTTACCATCATCATCATCATCATCATCATCATCATCATCATCATCATCTCTTCTATGTATACCCACAGGATTTTTCTGTGATGCAGCTTAAAGAAGTAAGGGGTAATTCATTTATTACCATATTTACCAGATCAAAGTGACTGTTGTCATATTGATATTATATTTTGCCCAGTCATGTACATACTTCATTGATACGCATTAAACATTATGTCATAGGTACTAGCCCAATATTTGCCTCCTCTCTTTTCATCTCAGATGAACAAGAACAATTTACCAATTCTAACAAACTGTATTTTTCCCTTTTGCATTTATTCTATAGTAGTTGAACTGCACCAGTACAATAAAGGTGCATTACATTGCCCAATAATAACATTTTATGGTTTCCCTCCCCCAGGGACAAATTGCAACACATTTCATAGGGCAGTAGTTGTCAATCTGCATAAAATTGCATTACACTCTCTCAGTGTCAATAAAAAAATGTTTCATTCTAGTAATGATAAAAAGTGACATTGATATCATCTAGTTACCATTTCGAAATTATATCCACCACTGGAAGGCTTATATTAACGAATGAAACAGATGAGGTAACCTTAATCTTCAAGATGCATAAATCTCCTCTCAGAGGAATAGTGTAGTGTATCATCTATTTCAGTAATAAGAAAATTGTTAGTTCTTAACAAATGCCTCAATATTTTCCCCTCTGTTTATTTGCACAGCAGTGTGGGTATGGGTTTGGAAAAGACATGCATCTGCTGGGACTTAAATTTGTATTATTTGTATAGTATCAAAACTAAACCCTGAACTCGTCTTTTAGGCTCCCAGATGGTTTCACCCAGCTTTTAAACTTGACCCAGCTCTACCTAAATGATGCCTTTCTGGAGTTTCTTCCAGCTAACTTTGGAAGGTAAGCATTACATGTACCAACTCCCTGCTAACCAAAAATATTTGTATTTCAGCAGGCTGATTACAAAAAAAGAGATGAGAACTACCCTGTGTCCCTGAAAATAAGACCTAACCTGAAAATAAGCCCTAGTAGGATTTTTCAGGATGCTCGTAATATAAGCCCTACCCCAAAAATAAGCCCCAGTTGAGTGAAACCCCGCCGTCTACCATTCTGCAGCAACCAGAAGAAAATGACAGGACTGTATTTGAATAAATGTACTGTAGATTTCTGTACATGAAAACAAAAACATCCCCTGAAAATAAGACCTAATGCTTTTTTTCGGAGCAAAAATTAATATAAGACCATGTCTTAATTTCAGGGAAACAAGGTACCATACTTTCATATAAGTTAAGTAAAGAAAAGGAAAACAATGGAATTATAGTCATTTCCTCTTTATTTGAAATTGAAATAAGAGGTAATTGATATCTCTTTGGGATCCCTTTGTTTTATGTTTAGGAAAGAATAGCTCATAATATGCTACGACATTGATAGAGATAAGAACATAAGAAGAGCCTTACTGGATCAGGCCAAGGGCCCACCTAGTCCAGCTCCCTGTATCTCACAGTGACCCCACCAGATGCCTCTGGGAGCACACAAGACAACTAGATACCTGTCTCCTGATACCACACCCCATTTTGACGTACCTTGCTTTTAAGCATAGAGACTGTAGATCCACATCATAGTTTATAACCTGCGATGGACTTTTCCTCCAGGAATCTGTCCAATCCCCTTTTAAAGGCATCTAGGCCGGATGTCATCACCACATCCTATAGCAAGGAGTTCCACAGATTAACAACACACTGGGTAAAGAAATATTTCCTTTAGTCCATTCTTACTCTCCCAGCACTCAATTGGAATGGATGTCCCCTGGTTCTGGTATTGCCTGAGAGGGAAAAGAGCTTTATCCATCCTCTGCATAATTTTTTATGTCTCAGTCATGTCCCCCCTCAGGCACCTTTTCTCTAAAGAGCCCCAAACGCTGTAGCCTTTCCTAATAAGGGAGATGCCCCAGCCCAGTCATCATTTGGTCGCTCTCTTCTGCATCTTTTCAAGTTCCACCATGTATTTTTTTGAGATATGGCAACCAGAATTGTACACAGTACTCCCAGGTGCAGCCTTATCAGCATTTGTACAATGGCATTATAATGTTGGCTGTTTTATTTTCAATCCCCTTTTTAATGATACCTAACATGGAACTGGCCTTCTTCACTGCCACCGCACACTGGGTTGACACTTTCATCGAGCTGTCCACCAGCACACCATGATCTCTTTCCTAAACCGTCACGGACAGCTCAGAGCCCATCAGCTGATAAATAAAGTTTTGAATTTTTTGCCCCAATGTCATTACAGTGGGGTCTCTACTTAAGAACTTAATCCGTATTGGAAGATGGTTCTCAAGTTGAAAAGTTCTTATGTTGAATCTGCATTTCCCATAGGAATGCATTGAAAACCATTTAATCCGTATCTGCTCTTTTCCGTCCATAGAAACTACAGTGGAACCTCTACTTAAGAACTTAATCCGTTTTGGAATGGTGTTCTTAAGTTGAAATGTTCTTAAGTTGAAGCAAAATTTCCCATAGGAATAGACTGAAAACCAATTAATTCGTTCTGGCTGTTTTTTTGTTATGTAGAGGTGCGTTCGTACATTAACCAAAGCTGGTTAATACGTACTCTACCACTATGGGGAGAATTTTTTTTTAACCTAAGATGACCTAAGGTTAAAAAAAGAGCAGGAAAGGGTTTTTTTTCCTGTTCTTATCTTGGATTTCTGTTCTCAAGTAGAAGCAAAATTTAGCAAATGGAGCTGTTCTTAAGTTGGATTGTTCTTAAGTAGGGACGTTCTTAAGTAGAGACCCCACTGTACTTTATATATTCTTATATTGAAACACATTTGCCATTTTGCTAGAGAGATCCTTCTGGATCTCTTCAGTTTGGAGAGATCCTTCTGGAGCGCTTCACAATCCCTTCTTGTCTTCACCACCCGGAAAAGTTTTGTGTCATCTGCAAACTCTACCACCTTGCTGCTTATCCCTGTCTCCAGGTCATTTACGAACAGGTTGAAAAGCACCAGTCCCAGGACAGATCCCTGGAGCACACTGCTTTTCACCTCTCTTCATTGTGAAAATTGCCCATTGACACATACTCTCTGTTTCCTGGCTCTCAACCAATTCTCAGTCCATAATAGGACCTTCCCTCTTATCCCCTGACTGTGGAGTTTTCTCAGCAGCCTTTGGTGAGGGACCGTGTCAAACGCCTTCTGAAAATCCAGATAGACAATATCCACTGGTTCACCCGCATCCATGTGCCTGTTGACCTTTCCAAAGAATTCTAAAAGGTTTGTGAGGCAAGACATACCCTTACAGAAGCCATGCTGATTTTCCCTCAGCAAGGCTTGGTCTTCTATGTGTTTTAAGATTTTATCTTGGATGAGGCTTTCCGGCATCTTCCCTGGAACAAACGTTAGGCTAACTGGACTGTGTTTTTCCTGGGTCCCCACTCCTTCCCTTTTTAAAGAAGTAGAAAAGAAGATGGAAAATAACTAGTTTTGACATGGTTGACAGCAGATTCAGATACCCCTCTCTCCCTGATAGAGAATAAACAGTGAAGGCTCAGCCTTTAAATGAACTGTATTGTGGATTATATAATCTTAAGAGTAATAATCTTAGAATGATGAATTAAACATGCCAAGAGTTCAACCTTAGTTTTGGATGGTGATGTACTTAAGATATCTTAGAATAAACAAACTATATTCCAGGTTAGAAAAAAGGAGAGAGAGATAGTTAAATAACAATATTGTCGATCCATGCTGCTCTCAAATGAGACTGGTGGCACAAAATTGGCCTCTGGACTTGCCAGATCAACCATCTTTATATATTGCATCTTTTATTTATGGTTGTCAACAACTTTGCTTTTTTCCTATGAGGACAATCCAAAAAATCTATCAATTCTGTGTATTAGAAAAACTCAGGTATACCAGAATAGCTAAATATCTCACATTTTATGGATGCAGTTTCAGAAGATGATATTTTGTATCTGTTTCTGTTTCTAAATTATGATTTGATATTTTTTTTTGTTAAAAGGGGGATGGATGACAATAAAGGAGAGTTGGGAAGGTATGAGGCTTTCTCAGAAACCAAAAAGTGGTCATAATGCTGAAAAGTTCTGGGAATCACTGTTCTAAACATACTTTCTAATATTCAAATATGGTTCACAAACAGTGTACTCAACATGCAGTTGCATAAGCTTTTTTCTGAAACACTCAAATATGCTAAAAAGCCCAGGAGTCATTTATCAAGATATGTGTAGTGGGGGAAAAAACCTCACTGATAACCCAGATCCCTGCTGCTACCCGTATAATTTTAAATACTTGGAATTGACAACAGTAATGTATCTCTCTTAATGATCCCTAATGTCACTAGGTGTTTTTTTTAGTATCCAGTAGTCATAATAAAATAATCTAAATTAGGTTATCCCCAGAGTGGCAGGCTTCATCCTGAAATCCACTCTACATGGCAGTTTTTAATCGTAATATCTCATTTTGTCCCAATTGTTCTCTTTTTGTTTGGAAATTTGAAAATTTTCTCCCAAACTTAGGTTTGGCGAGCCTAGTTTTACTGCAGAAGTGTCTGATATCCCATTCAGAATAGCACAGTGTTCTAATGCTCAGTTCCACAGCTGCATAACCACAGCTGGGCAGCATGGAATGAGTAAAACGTTTTGCACTCCCTTCCTACCTTCCTTAGCACTCATAACATGGATTAATTAAACCACAGCTAGCTGGTGTGCCTGAAATCTGGAAGTGTGATTCAACTTGGCAACCATGCTCTTGAACCAGAATGTAATGTTGGTTTATAGTCCTGGTTAGGACCAAGAGATCCTCACCTGGGGGAAGGGGAAGAGCAGAGTGTGATTCTTCTGATTCCTAGCTGCTTAAGAGATGGTTTAGTAATGTGGGAACTAAGTATCATAATCAGGCCACTGAGGGCACTTGGCTAAAGAGGCTCTCAAGTAGAAAACTGGGAATTTGTTTTCTTGTAGTGATGGGCCTTTCTGTTTTAATGAGCTCTGACATGTGCTGTTTCTGCACGCTCCACTGCCACTACATTTGTTAGTATCGTGGCTGTTATCGGATATGTCACATACCTTACAGAGAAGCAAGGCGAGCAAGCATAGCTGTCAGTGAATTGAGCATTTGACTTCCCTGCTTCCATGGTAATGTGTGTTAAGAACTTGCACATCTCACTTGGGTCCTGATCTCTGAGCCCTGGCTAGTCCCCCTTTGCTCACTGCTTCTACAGATGAACTTCTCCAGTTCCAGTTTGCATGCCTGCACATCTGTTTTCTGTAATGTGGGGAGCAGTACTGATAAAAGACATCTGCTGTGACAGAATAGTGCATATTATTTACCTATTCACTATACTTTTTACATTCTAGTATCAATATATGGTGGCTTGTTTCTTCATCAGCACCATCCTTCCAGTTTTGGCACATTACTTACATTAATTTTTATATTGAAATCGAATTATTTCTGGAATGCCCTTCGGCCTAGTAAAAACAAAAATAAGAGTAGCATTGCTTGAAATTTGTACTGTATAGCCTATTCTCTAGTTTTGACAGGGTGGGGAGTTATTTCCTGTAGTTTAATGTCAAGGGCTGTTGTTGGGTAGGCATAAGTCAATTTTGACATGTTTTTAGCTAGAATTGTTTTATAGATTTTGGAGGAGGGTGAGTTTGTTTATCACAGGAAATTAATAACATTATGGGAATTTTTCTCAGTTGTTTTCAAGACACACACACACACACACACACACACACACACACACACACACACACTAGCATGAATAAAATGTGATAAATGTCTTCCAGGTCGTCACAAACTGTGGTTTGTAAGGTAAAAGGTAAAGGTTCCCCTTGACAATTTGTCCAGTATGTCCGACTCTAGGCAGCGGTTCTCATCTCTGTTTCCAACCCACAGAGCTAGCGTTTATCCTCAAACAATCCTCTGTGGTCACGTGGCCAACATGACTAGACACGGAATTTGTACTGAACTGTATTTTGTACCTTTAAGCATATGCGTCTGATCTTTTCCTTAGTCAACCACTTATGAGAGATATTTGAATATGAAGCACATGAAAGATTATGTGGTTCATACTTTACAAGCACCCCCTCGTATTAGCAATGACAGCCCTCTAATTGTCCAAAATTAACTGATGTTTTTAGAAATTGGTTGTTGTGCGTTTTTCGGGCTTCTTGGCCGTGTTCTGAAGGTTGTTCTTCCTAACGTTTTGCCAGTCTCTGTTGTCCTCTGAAGATGCCAGCCACAGAGACTGGCCAAACATTAGGCAAAACCACCTTCAGAACAAGGCCAAGAAGCCCGAAAAACCCACAACAACCATTAGATCCTGGCCGTGAAAGCCTTTGCGAATACTTAAAAAAAATTATGATGAAGAAAATGTTTAGAACAGCTTCTCTTTCTTTCTTTCTTTTCTTTCTCACAGGAGCCATTTCTTTCTCTCATTATCTCTTTTATAAACTGTTTAACACATCAAAATGTAATTAATTAATTAATTAATTATTCTATATTCTGAATTATGTAATGATGAGATAAGATGCAGCAAATTGAGAAGCAAAAATAAATATATAGGGAGGAGATATATGGTGTTTAGATAGACAGACAGACAGACAGACAGACAGACAGACAGACAGACAGATAGATAGATAGATAGATAGTGGAATATATTATTATAATAATAATAAGTAGATCTCATCATGGAAAGCAACATATATTTATTTCATATTTCTATATTCTGACATTTTCTTTGCTGCTTGATTACTCTCATGTGGCTTTAGGATTTCCAGGGGACCCTTCCAGCAATCACAGCCATGCTGTCTTAAGATCTGTTAATATTCTAGATCTAGAAACATCTGCTGAATATTAAGATTCAGTTTTTTCTTTTGCTGCAATAATCAGAAAAATAATAACTTAAAGCTCTTAGTCTCATATGAAGTTATATGTTTATGGTTCTCATTAGAGGCTGGCCAGGTGCATGGCAATAATTCTATGGAAATATATATCTAGTATCATATGTGCTGGAAGAAGAAGCTTCCTAGCAATTCATGCATATAGTTAATTTCTAATTCTGAGATTAAAATTTTCTAATTTTTAATATTTCTAGACTTGTTAAATTACGGATATTGGAATTACGAGAGAATCACTTGAAAACTCTACCAAAGTAAGTGCTTATGTATTTTAGTTGCGTGAAATGTTGAAGTAATGCATTGTTTCACTTCCACTGTGAATTGTGCTGTTTTATAGAGTAATTCCCCTTGTAATTTGTGTTTTATATATTTTGATAACCATACTTTTGGGGCACATATTATAAAACAACAATAGTAATGACTAGAAATCGTAAGCAATCAAACAGTAAGGGCACAGTACACATATTCTGAAATATGCTTAATGTATTTTTAATCAGAACTCAGTAAAGAAATATGACTGAGTTACTGGAAACATAACAGAGATTGTTTTATTGATATGGGACTTTTTACTCTCAGCTGGCTAGTGAAATTTCAGTTTCACTGTCTTGGTGCTGTCAGCCTCTTTATCTTGATTAGGATAGGCATAAGTTCCCTGATGCTACTCAACCCTTTTACTTCTAGACAGGCCAGATTCTTTCTTGATGAGATTTAAACTTTAGCATAACTGAAGAAGAAAAAACACCCTACCAATTATCTCTTTGTGTACTGCTATGGAGATTTGATTTCTGCATAAGAGTTTGATGGCCCTGATATTTGTTCCACTAAGCATGCACATGAACATTCTACATGTCATACATGTTAATTGTATTTGTTTTGAGCATTCAGGATTCTTTACAAAGGTGTCCATCACAGAAGGCTCATCATTTCAACAGAAATTTCCCCCTGATGAACACACAGGGAGGTGATTTCTGTTGCTTTTATCTCCACACTATTACAGTGGTGCCTCACTAGACGATGATAATCCGTTCCACTAAAATCGCTGTTTAGCGAAATCATTGTCTAGCGAAAAGCATTTCCCCATTGGAATGCATTGAAACCTGTTGAATGCGCTCCAGTGGGGAAGAATCGTCATTGTCTAACGAAGGTCGGCCATAGGAAAGCTGCTTTGCGAACTGCCGATCAGCTGTTTAAATCGCTGTCTTGCAAAGCTTAGGTCCAGAAAACACCTGTTTTGCGAGCACGGAGGAAGCTGTCAAAATCGTTGTCTAGCAAAAATTGGTTTGCCAATCACTGTTTTGCGAATCGCTATAGCGATCACAAAAAGTCAATGTCTAGCGAAAAAACTGATGTGGGGTAACTGTCTAGCGTGGCACCACTGTATTTCCAAAGAACTGGGCACCCTTCAGAATACAGTAGAGTGCTTTCAAAGGAAACTGTTGAGCATGGAAAGTGGACTGGAAAAGATTGCCTCCTTCCTCACTCTGCTGGAGAAGCCTTCACTGGAAGGCTTCTATCAGCAGAAAGGGAACTCATATAGGAATCCTAGGTGTGTGTTTTTTTAATTTGAAGCAGGATATTATAAAGGCAGATACATAAATAAACAGCCAGTATTAAATAAGGTAGAGTAGTTTTAAGGGTTATAGGAAGTTTTCAATTATCTTGTGAAAAAAAGAAAGTAATGGATGAGATGTAAAAAAATCCTCACTGATCTTCTTTTCATTTGGAAATGAAGAACCACAATTTTTTACTCCTTACCTCATGAGAGAACAAAGTATTTTACAGTTCTTGTGAAGAACAAGGATGAGATGGGGGGGCAAAATTAGCAAAAGGGCACAAATAACCCTTTAACACAAAGGGTTATTAACACAACACAAGCTAAAATGATAAGAATAGAAGTTGCTTTTGTTGCATGAATTTTTAAGGATTAGAAACACTGCATGTCATTTTCACAATGAGCCAGTCATTCTGCACTTGCTGTGTATGTGATCTGATTCCCCCCCAAAAAGGGCACTAGTTTCACCCAGTAACAGTCCATACAGTTTGTACCCTATCTCTTGTTTGTCTGGTGGTGGGGTATCTGATGGGGCTTGGAACTTCCTTGTTGATATGTCTCATCAAGCTGAGACAGCCTACATTGACTGAATGTTCTTTATATTCCTAGTAGTGGAGGTTTACTGGCAGTTCCTAATCTCAGATAAGACTGGTTCACGCATGGCACTTCGTACATAAGCAGGAGGGAAAGCTGTGTGGAACTATATATCACCTATTTCAGTGAAACCTTTCATGCCCTCTATGCATAAGATGACTTCCAAAATAATAAACAGAAAATTTTTCCATGTTTCCTGATCATAGCTATCTTATCTACAATGCGAACAGCACTATTAAAACTTCAGTGTTCCAAATCTGATTTTCTGAATTCACTCCATGAATACTACACATATGTACAATCTCACTGATATGGATTTCACACTAACTAGACATACAAATGAATTAACTTGCAGTACTGTACCATAGGCCCATCTTTCAGAATGTTCTCTGTTCCGATGGGCAGCAGCCTTCCACAAGCCCAGAAAGTGTATCTTTCCTACATTGTCTGAACTCTTTACTGAGCATGCGCAGAGAGAACCTGAGGCTAACTGCATGCTCCAATAACATGCATTGATGGCCTGTTGCTGAGCTGACTGGGCCTGAATTAACATACACAACGTAATTGGAAGAAAAAGGCCACAGCATTTATTGATCACAGCAGCAGTCATCCTGGCCAGGCATTGGGTTGAATCCACCTCATCGGGGGGGCACATGCCCCCCCAATGCAAGCCACCGTCTCCTTAAGAGACCTCTGGGATGGTAGTTCCCTTGAGAGG